TCACCATCACCACCATCGTCAGCACATTGCAGGAAACCCACCGCGACTGTTTAGAAATTCAACTTCACGTCTGAGAGATTTGGCCACGTTGACTGTGCTAGCTTCTCTTGAAATTTTCCATTTTGCACGAATAAACACAACAGCTGTGGTGGGCACGCCCCTTTCTTCACACCCAACCCAAACACCTCGTTCTGCGAACACCTCCCAACCCTCCAAGACCTGGGGTGCCACTCCCAGGGCTCAGCTCCTACGGGAGGGCTCCCTGTCCCACGTCTCCCTTGCTGCCTCCAGCACACCACTGTGCTCGACAGCCATCTTCCCTGCTCGCACGGCAGCCCTGAATGCTCTTATTTTCTCCCAGGCTGCACCCTTCCTGAGAGGCCCTAAACGGGTGACATATAATTGGCAGGTCTGAGACCTGAAGGATGAGGAGCCAGCTGTGCAAAGAGCGGGAGAGAAAGATAGTTCTTGAAGACAGGGACACTGAGAGCAAGGCCCTGCCTCGTTCATGTCCCTGCCTCTTCTGCACTCAGCATGGTGCCCACCCACTGTCCCCCAGGTGTGATCTGGGTGCATAATGGATGCTGCGCATGCAGAAACCCTAGCCTGGTGGGGGATCTCAGTAGAGTAGGGGTGGGGGCTGGAGAACCCCAGAGGTTTACTGCGCCCAGCAATGAGAGCACATGCCTTGTTCAGCTGGACAGTGGCCAGGCTGAGGGGCTGAGCTAGGGCACTCAGGGCAGGTGGAGCTAATCAAGCTTTCTTTCCAAACAAGACCCCCTAACGCCCCCTTTCTTTCCAAACAACACTTTCCTCTCTCACTGAGAGTAAATAAGCGTTATCATTCTCGGCCTCTCAGTGCTCGGCTGGTCAGAGTTGATGTCCCAGTGGTGCAGCCGTGTGGCAGTCCAGTTCTAAGGAGAGGGGAGGGACCTTCCAAATCCAGAAATCACCAAAGGTCAACTGGAGGCTGTCTCCAAGAGGGCAGAGTGTGCACAAATCCGGATTTATCCTAATGGTCCAACCCCCCTGGGAGCTCACAAACTCTGGCTTTGCTTTTGAAATCTCTTGAGGTGACGTCTGAAAGGAGTTTGGCCAGGGGCCTGGCAGTAGTAGGTGTTCGGCTCATATTCACTTCTTCTTCTGACCCCTGACAGCCTGGCCTGGTCTTTCTGGTAAGAGCCTTGAATTCTTCCCATCCACTCATTCATTCATTCTAAAGGTATTGATTGTGCTAGGGGTTGGTGATCAGAAACATAAGGCCCAGACCCGGCCTTTGAGGGGCTTGTTGATGGCATTGAGAGAGCTGAGAGTGAGGTGCATAGTTAACCGAGGTTCTGGGGACACTTTGGTGGCTCAGTCGGTTAAGCGTCTAGCTCTTGGTTTTGATTCAGGTCATGATCTCACAGCCCACATTGGTCTCTGTGCTGATGGCATGGAGTCTGCTTGGGATTCTCTGTCTGTCTCTCTCTCTCTGTCTCTGTCTCTCTCTCTCTTTCTCTTTCTCTCTCCTCCTCTCAAAATAAACATTTAAGGGGAACCTGGGTGGTTCAGTCAATTAAGCATCTGATTCTTGGTTTCGGCTCTGGTCATGATCTCATAGTTTGTGAGTCAAACCCCATGTCGGGCTCCACGCTGACAACTCAGAGCCTGCTTAGGATTCTTTGTCTCCCTCTCTCTCTGCCTCTTCCCTACGCTCACTCTCTGTCTCTCTCTCAAAATAAATAAACTTTAAACAGTTGGGTCCTCTGTCCCCCTCTTTCTGCCCTTCCCCTGCTCACTCACGCTCACTCTCTCTCAAAAATAAACATAAAAAAAAAAAACCCCAACAACAACACAGATTGTGGAGCAGAACCTGGACTCAAAGCTGGACTCAAATCCCACCTCCACCAATTCCTAGCTGTGTGACCATGGGCCTGTTACTTAACCTTTCTGTTCCTCAATTTCCTCATCTGTAAAAAGAAGAACAATAGTGCTTACTTACCTCACAGGGCTCTTGTGGAATCAAATGAGTTCATACACGTAGAACAATTAGAACATTGCCTGTCACATAATAAGGCTTGATAAATGATTCACATGCACGTAGGTATAAAATTATTATTATAACAAAGAGCTAGGTTGTCAGCAAACACTTGATCGTTGCCTCCTTGGCATAGGCCCTGGACCAGTGTGTGGGACTTGTGGTGAGCAGGACCAGCCAGGCCCCTGCCCTCGTGGGCTGCCGTGCAGCAGGGAAGATGGCTGTCGAGCACGTCAGTGTGCCGAAGTCAGCAAGGGAGACGTGGGACAGGGAGCCCTCCCGTAGGAGCTGAGCCCTGGGAGTGGCACCCCAGGTCTTGGAGGGTTGGGAGGTGTTCGCAGAACGAGGTGTTCGGGTTGGGTGTGAAGAAAGGGGCGTGCAAAATGGAAAATTTCAAGAGAAGCTAGCACGGTCAACGTGGCCAGATCTGTCAGACGTAAAGTTGAATTTCTTAACAGTTGCGGTGGGTTTCACGCAGTGTGCAATGTGATGACAGTGATGGTGACGGAATTTCCTAAGAGCTTTCTATACGCCGAGTATTGTTCTAAATGCTTTGCTTATATTAATCTGTTTAATCTTCTCAAGCGTACTATGACTTAGGAGCTATTTTTAGCCTTATTATACAGATAAGGGAACTGATGTAGAGAATGGTTAAGTCACTTGCCTAAGTTAGTAGGTGGCATAGTCAACATTAGAACAAGGCTGTCTGGCTCGGCAGCCTGTGCCTTTACGATTACACTGTGTAAAAAGCACACAAGATAATACCTTTTTGTACAAATAGTAAAAGTGTAGTTATGCATAGAACCTTCTGGGAAGAGGAAGTAAAGGAGGGAAAGAGGTGACAGGATAGACCTTTTATTTTGGTGTTTCTCTTTTTAAAAAAATCTGAAACACAGCAAAGTATTAATATCTGCTAATTTGGGTTGTGTCTATGTGGATTGTAAAATTATTCTCTGTGTTTTTCTGTATACTTTGAAATATTTAATAATTTTTCCTTGGGGCTCCTGGGTGGCTCAGTCGGTTAAGCATCTGACTTTGGCTCAGATCATGATCTTGCAGTCTGTGAGTTCGAGCCATGCGTCAGGCTGTGTGCTGATAGCTCAGAGCCTGGAGCCTGCTTCAGATTCTGTGTGTGTCTCTCTCTGCCCCTCCCCTGCTCAAGTTCTGTCTCTCTCTGTCTCAAAAGTAAATAAATGTTAAAAAAAATTTTTTTTTAATAATTTTTCCTTGAAATTTTTATGGAGGTAATTACAGAGTCACATGTTGTGAGAAATAATACAAAGACAAGAAAACGACAGCAAGAAAAAGAAAGACCACAGAGAGGTCCCAGATACCATCTACACCTAGTTTCTCCCAGTGCTGTGTACAGTAGTTAAGTGTCACAACCGGGATGATGACATTGACATGGCCCACCCACTGTATGCAGGTTTTCCTAGTTTTACTTGTACTTGCTTCTGTACATTCATGTTTGTATGTACGTTAAGGTCTGTTCAGTTTTACGCAGGTGTTACACACAGGTAGGTTTGCGTGTCCACCAACCCAGTCAGAACACCGGAACGGATCTAACTTCACCAGGGTCCTCTGCATCCATGTCCCTAAAGCCACGCGCATGCGTGCATGCACACCCCAGTGCCTCGGAACCACTAATCTCTTCTCCACTTCTGTCCTCTTCTCTGCGTCGTCATTTCAGAAATGTTACGTAAACACAGTCACACGGTGTGCAAGATTGAGGGCTCGGCTTTTCTCACGCTGCATAATTCCCTTGAGATCCATCCCAAACAGTTGCCTGTCTCGGTAGCTTGTTCCTTGGTATCGCTGGGTCATAGCCCGCGGTGGGATACCCCACCGTTTATTTTAACCTTTCCCCTGTTGGATGTTAGAGCTGTTTCCAGTTTGGGGCTGGTGGGAATAAAGCTGCCGTGAACATTCACGTACTGGTCCATGTGTGGATGTAGGTTTTCGTTTCTTCGGGATAAATGCCCCAGAGTACAGTTGCTGGGGGACATGGTAAGGCATGTCTGGTGTCATAAGAAACTGCCAGACTGTTTCCAGAGTGGCTGTGTCTATTTCATAATTTAAAAAAGAAGGTTTTTGGCTGACAGAGGAAAGGCAGTCCCGGTCGAGGAAGAAACATACACAGGCCTGGTGCTAGAAGTGCACGGAGGCTTGTGGAACGAGCACGGTGGTTCGTGTTGCTAGGAAAGACTCTGGGTTTAGCTGAAGAGGGAAAGCAAGGTCGCTCCTTAGTCAGTCAACAAACACTTACTGAGTTCTTCCATGTGCCAGACACTGTCCGGCGTATGGAGGCACTGTCTTCCGAAGCCTGTGTCTAGCAGAAAAGACCAAGTGAAATAATTACAAGGTACATAGTTTACAGGGGTGAAGGAGGGCCTTCGGGAGGGCGTGACGTGTGTGTCTGCAGACACCAGGTGCTTCCCATGAAGGCAGGGACGCGCCTGTCTTGTTCTCCCCCAGGCCTCAGCACACAGTAGGCAGTCAGCAAATATGTGTGAAATGTGGAGCGGATGTTCTCACGTGGTGTACACATTCCCTGTGAGCGTGTCCTGTCCGCAGCTGCATGTCCCAGTCCCGCCGTGTGGGTAAAAGGGCAGAGGCGCGGTCCAGACTCCGGGGTCCAGACACCCCACCCTGGAGTGAATTGCCACACCGCAGATTGGAAGCCAGCATGACATACAGAAGGTTGGAATGCTCTACTGTAAAGTTTTAATTGTTAAACAAGCAAAGACGGTTGTAAATTCTGTGTGGCAGGACAGTATTGCATAGTGTGCCTGTTGTCGCCGCCACGGTTTCTTATCAGCCTGTTGGGGTTTCACAGCCTCTCGTGCTTCTTGCATGTTGGAGGGGCCCCTCCGCAGGGTCTCTGGGGCATGGTGCAACACCGTCCTCTTTCCTGTGGGGGTGGCGGCCAGGCTTCTGTGCGTCCTCCACCTGACTTCCCCTCATTCCGTCTCATGTCTAGATTTTCTCCAAAGGAACATCCAGTGCTCGCCCTACCAGGGGCCCCGGCCCAGTTCCCCGTCCTGGAGGAGCACAGGCCGCTCCAGAAGTACATGGTATGGTCAGACGAGATGGTGAAGACGGGAGAGGCCCACATCCGCGCCCATCTCATCCGGCCCTACGTGGGCATTCACCTGCGCATTGGCTCTGACTGGGTAATTTCTCCCTTCCTCTCCTGGCTGGCTGGCACATGTCCCTGACTAGGGCCCACGCCTGTGCGTGTTGAACACTGAACCCGCTGCCGAGCCCTGGACGGGGCAGAGACATCTCACTCAGCCAAGATCGTGGCACGGTGTTCCAGGATCCTGCCAGAGACACATCAGAAATGTGGCTCCAGAGTGCTTGCTTGCCAGCCCTCATTTTAACAGTTGCCATTTTTGTCCTTATTTTGCAGGTGGGTGAATAAACATCCAGCTAGACTCCCAAGTCAGGCAGTAAGCCGGAGAGAGACCCGCAGCTCAGGAGTCCTCTGGTCCAGCTCAGCATTTAGCCAGTAGATTCTTTGTTGAAAAATAAGCTCTGGAGATTGGGTGGGGCTCCAAAGAAATGCAGATGTCATCCTCCATATTCGGAGGCTGCTTAAATGTGCAGAAACCTCACCAGGTCATCTTCTGTGTGGAAATAACAGAGCAATGTAGACAGTCTCCTTAATTTACACAAGAAGATATATGTATCTTAGAAATGCTCATTGTGGAAGACTTGAAAAATACTGACAAGTATAGAAATTAGATCAAAATTCAGTCAGAGTCTGTTAAGGAAGTACGGGTGACCCTTGAAGAACTTGAGCTTGAAGTGCGTAGGCCCACTGAAATGCGCTGCCTTTTTACAGTGCAGTGCTGTACCTGTGTTTTCTTTTCCTTACAGCATTCGTAGTAACTTTTTCTTGTTTCTAGCTTCCTTTATTATAATACAGTACATGGTACATATGACATACAAAATACGTGTTCATTGACTTTGTTATCAGTAAGGCTTTTGGTTTACAATAGGCTATTAGTAGTTAAGTTTGGGGGAAGTCAAGAATTATATGCAGGTTTTTGATAAAAATTATATGCACAGGGTGGGGAGTAGTGTCCTTAACCCCTGTGTTGTTCAAGGGTCAACTGTAGTCACACATGTGTGCCCTTGACTCTCTTCCCGCTCTCCTTCCACAAAGAAAAGGAGCCAAGCTGAGAGTATCTTGGCCCAGAATATCTTGTGAATAGTTTCAGCCAAACCTTTAAGAAACAGTTTCCATCTTTATGTGCTTAGAACATAAAAAGTTATAAGATGCTGTGTTTTATAAAGCTAGCATAGCACTAGAGCAAACTCCGATAAGGTCAATTCAGAAGAGTAGATAGAACCCGTTCTCACAAACCTAGATGCCCAAATTCTAAGTAGGATATTAGCAAGTAAACTCCAGTAACATATTAAAGAGCACATAACATAAGTAAACTTTATCCCAGGAATGTAATTCACTGTATTAGCACCCAAAGAGGAAAAATCATATAACCGTCTCAATAGAGGCCAAGAAAGTATTTGATAAAAGTCAACATTCTTTCATGATTTAAAAAAAAAAAAAAGAAAGAAAGAAAGAAAAGAAAAACCTCTTAACCAACCGGGAAAGAAGGGACCCACCTTAACTTGATAAAGGCTATCTCTCCGAAACCCACAGCAAACATGTACTTCACGGGAGCTATCAGAAGTGTTCCCACTGAAGTCAGAGATCAGATAAGGCTGCCCATTATCACCACCATGGCTCACAATTCTACTGGAGTTCCCAGATAATATAGTAAGACTAAGAGAAAAATACTTTGTAAAAAGCCAGTATGCCACTACCTGGCAGTAACGGCTGTTGCTGTTTTGATGCATTTCCCTCTTCTCTCGGTGCTTTTTTTAAAAAACACAGCTCAGCTTCTCTACAGCCTTTCTCCACTTAGTGGCTCTTGCCCCTGGGGTCCAGGGCCAGTTGCAGTCTTTAACCCTGTCCCCCTTCAACACTGCAGAAAAACGCCTGTGCCATGCTGAAGGATGGGACCGCCGGCTCCCACTTCATGGCCTCCCCGCAGTGTGTGGGCTACAGCCGCAGCACGGCGGCCCCTCTCACCGTGACCATGTGCCTCCCTGACCTGAAGGAGATCCGACGGGCCGTGAAGCTGTGGGTGGAAGCGCTGAATGCCCGGTCGGTCTACATTGCCACGGATTCTGAGAGTTTCGTGCCCGAGATCCAAGAGCTCTTCAAAGGGGAGGTGTGTGTGGGCCCAGCGGGGGTGCGGCGGGAAGGGAATCAAAGAAAGCGCCAGGGTGGTCCCTCCACATGCTTCATGTCCTCCTGACACTTAGGCGTTTCCACTCCGGCTCCTAGCCCTCCTTCAAATCCCAGCCCAAACCCCGTGACACCTTCTCTCCAGTTCCCCCTGCACTCTTGTAGCTATGTGTCCCTCCTGGAGCTGTCACCATATGTTGTCACAGCTGCTCTCGAGGTACCGTCTCGTCTGTGTGAGAATAGAAACACGTCCCACTTCTTCCCACTCGTTGTGGCTCCTTGCAGGCAGGATCTGAGGCTGAGTCACTACTCTCTTCCTCAGCGTGTAGAGAGGCCTTGCCGCCACCACTGTCTAGGGCAGCGCTTAAACAGTTGATGCTCAGTGGCTGTTGAATAAGGGCATGAGGAGCGGGCCCTTGGGAGAAGTCCAGTGTGACAGAGACATTAAGAGCTGGACTCTGGAGCCAGAGAGCTGGGGTGCTCCTTGCTATGCAGTCCTGCGCAAGTTCCTTTAGTTCTCTGTACTTCTGTTTCGTTTTCTGTAAGATGAGACTGAGAGTAGCCCTGTCTCCTAGGGTGATTGTGAAGATAAGATGCAAAGAAACTAAAACTGTTCCAGTACAAAACAAGCGCTCAATAGTTAGTCGTCACTGATAATAGGAGTCAGGGTTGTTGAGGGGCGCCTGGGTGGCTTAGTCGGTTAAGCGTCCGACTTTCGCTTAGGTCATGATCTCGCGGTTCGTGGGTTCGGGCCCCGCGTCAGGCTCTGTGCTGACTGCCAGCTCAGAGCCTGGAGCCTGTTTCGGTCTGTGACTCCCTCTCTCTCTGATCCTCCCCTGCTCACACTGTCTCTCTCTCTCCTAGAAATAAATAAAACATTAAAAAAAATTAAAAAAAAAAAAAAAAAAGGAGTCAGGGTTGTTGAATAAAGGGAATGCTCTTTTGTACTTCGTAAATGCTTCAGGAAGCAGTGAATAGTAAATGCTTGGATGTGTGATTAAGGAGTGGGATGTACTTGGTGCTCTCCCAGTGGAGAGGAGGTAAGAAGTCTCCCTAAAATGACTGAGTTAACACTAAGCATTCCATAAGATTTTGTGGAATGAATGAAAGCCCTAAACGCCTGCAGAGACCTTCAAAGGTCTGCTTGGCTTTATGCGAGGGGCTCCCTTCTCTCTCTTAGTCCAGACACCAGCTGGAGGCCTTGACTTGTAGAGAAGGTGCTAAGTCAGCGCACCCTGGCCTCCCTCCTGCCCACCCGCCTTATAGACCATCGGAGCTGGGAGACTTTGGGGCTCCTCTAACAGCGCCTGCGTGTTACACTGAGGAAACCAAAGTCCCAAGAAGGGATAGAATTTACCCAGGAGGTCTCAGAGCTAACGATAGTGGGTATGACACGGAGCGGGTAAATTTCAGGGCGTGGGTGGAATTATTCGGGGATTTTGGCCGTGATTATACTAGTATTATTTCTTTGCTACCCTCCAAATAGCGAGATGATGATTTTTGTTAGATCAGAAATCTCTGTCTGACAGCAAAGCACTTTCAGCCCCAGCTCTGCCCACACCCCCATCTCTAGGCTAAGTTGAAGCATTTGGAGAGTCCCAGGGAGTTTTTTTGTGAGTTTTTAGAGTTGGTATATTTGTTCCACCTTAAGCCTCTTGCCATTTTCTGTTTCCTGTCCATGTGCCACTGTTCTTGCCACTGCCGACTCCTCAACCCCTTCGTCTGTGGGCTCAGAGCCCACCCTTGCCCCTCCGTTAGGCTGGGCCACCGCTGAGCTGAGGATGCCAGTAAATAAGATGTGGTCCTGCCCTCCAAGACTCCCAGTCTAGAATCAGTCTAGATCAGGAAAGGAGACTGCACAGAACTCTAATATATGCTGCAAGAGAGGTCCAAGAGCTTTAGGAGAGGCAGGGGCTCATTCATTCACGTGTCCAGTCACCAGATGTTTATTGAGGCAGGCCCGGCCAGCGGTGACAAGAAGACCCACCACAGCCCAGCCCCATCAAGTTCAGGAGACTGATATTAGTCGGAGTGAAAACTACAAACCAAGATGTGTGCTCCAAAGTAAAGGAATGTAGTTCCATGAGAGTATAGTGCAGAGGACCCTGGCCTAGATCAGGGTCCACAGAGGTGAGACTGGAGCTGCAGAGCGAGGGTCAAGTAAGAAGTAAGCAGACAAAAAGATGAATGCCTCAACCAGAGGGAGAGTGCATGCAAAGGTCCTGAGGCAGGAGGGACCTGGTCGATAGTGGCTGGAGCTCAAAGGGTGATGGGGGAAGATCTGAGAGGTGGAGACGTGGCTTGGACAGGGCCTTTTAGGCCACAGTCAAGATTTTTCCTTTTCTTTTTTTTTTTTTAAATTTTTTTTTTTAATGTTTTTTATTTATTTCTAGGAGAGAGAGAGACAGCGTGAGCAGGGGAGGGTCAGAGAGAGAGGGAGTCACAGACTGAAACAGGCTCCAGGCTCTGAGCTGGCAGTCAGCACAGAGCCCGACGCGGGGCTCGAACCCACGAACCGCAAGATCATGACCTAAGCGAAAGTCGGACGCTTAACCGACTAAGCCACCCAGGCGCCCCAAGATTTTTCCTTTTCATCTGAAGATCAGGAGGTTGCCATTTAAGGGTGTTCAGCATGGGGTGGAGGGAGGGACAGAGAAAAAGTTTTTCCAGCTGCTCGGTGGTGAACAGACAGAGACAGTGAGGGAGCCCATGAGGAGGTAAGAGATTGTGGTGGCTGGCCCGGGAGTGGTGGTCCATCGAGAGAAGGGGTCACTTTTGGGGAATATCTTGGGGACAGATGGAACAGGACTTTGGGGCTCAGAGGCATCCAGGCATCAGAACAGGATGGGTGGAGCCCTGTTTGATCAGATCTCAGTGTGATGGGGAGAGCCACACCTGCCGGGCTAGGGCTTCCTGAGAGAACGGCGGAACTGGCTGGGCCTTGCACTGAATAGGAAAAAGCTGCTCCAGGCAGAGGGAACCACACTAGTGAAGGCATAGAGGGTGAATGATGCTGGGTCGAGAGCTGAGGCTGCCGTGGGGGAGGGGTGTGCCACGTGGGGGTATGCTGGGACCGCGTCTGGGCAGCACTGCTGGTGGAACGCCCAGCCCCACGTCTGAATCCTCTCTGCACCTCCTTTTGCGTCTGGCACTTCTGTGCAGGGGAAGGAAGAAAGCCGGGGGTATGGCTGCGGGCCTTGGCCAAACTGGCCGCCTCTGCCTGCAGCCACCCTGGTGAGAACGCTCTGCCCTTCCTCCCGCAGGTCAAGGTGGTGAGCCTGAAGCCTGAAGTGGCCCAGATTGACCTGTACATCCTCGGCCAAGCCGACCACTTTATTGGCAACTGTGTCTCCTCCTTTACCGCCTTCGTGAAGCGGGAACGGGACCTCCAGGGGAGGCTGTCCTCTTTCTTTGGCATGGACAAGCCCCCTCAGCTGCGGGATGAGTTCTGACCCTGGCTGGAGCACCTCGCCAGCATAAGCCAGTCCCCCTGGCCGGGCCTGACAGCTAGCAGTGCTCCCAGCACTGGCTCCCAAGGATGCAAGCTCTTCTCCCTCGCCAGAGACAGAAAGGCACCAGGGGCTCCTGGAGGAGGATTCCGTGTCCCAGAGCACAGGGCTCGCCGGCTCCTGGGCCGGGCATCTCCGCTCCCTGCGTGCCTCCTGCCATTTCTCCCGGGCACTGCTCACACTGGCAGAGCAGTCCCACCTCCATCTTCTGGGCTGCCCGGCTCGGAGCAGCCCGGGGGCTCAACTCTTCTCAGTGACTTTTTTATAGAGACAGAGATACTTATAGTTTTGATATGAGGTCATGACTACCCTAGAACTCTCCCTCATTTTTTTTTTTTTATATTTTTGGGGTTTTTTTTTTTTTTTTTTTCTGAGAGAGAGACACCATGAGCAGGGGAGGGTCAGAGAGAGAGGGAGACACTGAATCCAAAACAGGCTCCAGGCTCTGAGCTAGCTCTCAGCACAGAGCCTGATGCAGGGCCCTAACCCACGAACTGTGAGATCATGGCCTGAGCTGAAGTCAGATGCTTAACTGACTGAGCCACCCAGGCGCCCCTCTCCCTCATTTGTAAAAATCAGAGAAGTTCATTGCCATAGGTATCAAAAGTGACCTTGAATGAGGGTGAGGCCAGGGGTGAAGTGGTTGTATATTCCCCTTTCCCAGCTGACCCCCAAAGTAGCCCTTAGACAGGGCCAGAGCCAGTAACCCCTCTTTCGAGTCCATTTCCAGGGTTGGAGGCATGAGCACTCGGCTCCATTCTCAACACTATGCAAATAGAAGTTAGGAATCTTGATGCCGTGCACCCCTCTCCGGAGGCACAGAGCGCTGCCCACACAGCACGTTCCAAGCAAGGAGCATCTGCTGTCAAGCCAGACGACCATGGTGTTGCCCTCAGAGTCTCCTGGTGCCTGGTGCCCTGCCACAAACCTGGCTCCATCGAGATCTTGAAATGTGTCCCCCCAGCCTCCCTCCTGCAGCTGGAGCTCTCTGGCCATATTTTCACAAGGGAGTGTTTGCTAAGCCTCTGACCCAGAAGCCATCAAATGTCCAGTTTGCCCCTTCCTGTCCAGTGAAATCTCTGCCAACCCCATGAGGCTTAAAGTATTACATCGTGGGGTGTTTGTTTGTTTGTTTTAACTCTCAGATGCTACAATTGTGATAATCCATGATTCCTAAGATTCTGTGATGTTTTGGCCTTGTGGTCCTAAAATTCACATCTACCCGCTGCTGGTATCTTCCCTGCCGTGTGATTTCCCTTGGCCTTCAGTCCTTGGAAGGTGGAGAAGACTCTGATGAGAGCCAGGCCCAGAGCTCCATGCAGGGCTTCTCCCTTAAATTACCCTTGGGAGGAAACATTGCCTTTGTCAAGGCCAGAGGTTGCAGAGCAACGAGGATCTCAAACACCAAAGGTGGCATTTGCTGCTTGGAGCTGCTGCCCAACTTGCAGCAGAGAAACTAGAGAAAGGGCTTTTGTGTTTTCCCTCCTGGGAAATGTGAGACGTTCTAAATCCTGGGTGGACCCTGAGAGATGGCTTGTCTGTCCAGACTTGTTCCCCAGCTTCACTCAGAACACGCCTGTCGCCGTGGAGTCGCCGGGGAGGTGCGGTTCCCTGATGGTTTGGTGTGCTGAATTTGCTCACCGTTCACAGCCTCACACTAGGCACACACTTCGGAGTCTGGGGCCCTCCCTGATGGGCCACCCGGATCACTTTGACTAGCGTCGGCAGTGTTTCTGGATGAGAAGATGCCAGCCTTGTAGTCAGATTCGGTTGTGCTCCACAAGTGAGCACTCTATTCCTCTTTGACCCAGTTGCCTCACCTATAAAAGTGGTGATAAAAACCGACGGGGTTGTGGAAAGCCTCGAATCAGATAAAGCATGTATAAGAGTCGTAAACTGGAAAGAACCAAAGGCACGTATGTGGCTGCTGATTAATTTGATGGCCTGCTGTCGCAACCTAGTCTGTGCCAAGCACTGTGTTTGTTAAGTGCTTTATGGGAAGTTAGCCCCTACTCCACAGCCCTGGGGCCTAGCAACTGTTAATACCCTTCTCTTACTACACAGGGGAAAACACCACTCAAAAAATTCTCATTTTCTTGAGGCCGCATAGCTGGTGGTGGTAAGTCAGGATCTGACCTCCCAAAGCAATTACCATTAGCTACACACACCCCCTACTGCCGCCAGTTCACAGGATGCACTTTATGCCGTCGGGGGCAGGGGGACTCAGGTGGGAGAATGATCAGCCACTTTAGTTCCCACTGGACTCCTGCTATGGGTCTGTCACCGCCAGGAGGTTTGGGGGAGGGAGAAATCACCCAAGAAACAAAGCCTACACGGGGCTTCTAGTTCTTTTCGATAGTTATTTAGTCCAACATTCTTTCATTCAAGTCACCGACTGTGTGCCGGGCTGTGTGCTAGGTACTAGGGGTTCAGCAGAGAATCAGACATTAAAGTCTGTTCTCAAAGGATTTGCATTGTAGTTAAGTATACGACCCAGTGAACAAATGTACCGGGGAGGTATTGACTAACGGCTGTGAAGAAAAACAAAGGCTACAGGGGAGCTCAGAGAGGGAGCAGTGCTGTTCTGGATGAGTTCAGGTAAAGCCTCTCTCAAGAGCTGCCAGGGGGAAGGACGAAGCCGCTCATTCAGGTATCTGGAGGCAGTGCATTTCAGGCAGAGGAAACAGCAGGGGCGAAGGTCCCGAAGCTGGAATGGCAGGACCAAGGCAGGGAACAGAGCAGTAGATCAGAGCATGCAGGGCCCTATATCCTGGAGGGCACTGGTAAAGCCCAAACGTTCCATTTGGAGAGTTGGGGAGCCTTTGCAGGGTTCTGACCAGAGAAGGATCACGATCTGTTTATAGTTTGAAGGACGCTTCTAGCTGCCTGGTGGAATAAAGGTGGGAGGGAGGGTGGGAGCATGGAGACCAGTGTGGGGCTGGTGCCCAGCTACAAGCCAGGTGCTGGGGCTCAGGCAAGGGCCATTGCATCGGAGGTGGTGGGAAGTGGGCAGATACCGGCCATACGAAATTATTTTTAAATTTCAATCTTTTTTATCTTTTTTAAGGTTTTATTTTTAAGTCCTCTCTACACCCAATGCGGGGCTCAAACTTAACAGCCCTGAGATTAAGAGTTGCACACTCTACTGACTGAGCCAGCCAGGTGCCCCATTAAATTTCAGTCTTTTTTAAAGGAGTCTTTGTATATTGTAATAATGCAGTATATACAATTTCATGTTTTGTTTTTCACATAATAGTATATCACCTTTTTCCATGTTGGTACACATCCTGAATAAACGTTTTTAATGACAAGATTCCACTGAGGGGTGTCCCATAGTTTAGTGTCCTATTAGGAGAACTTAGTATGTTCCCAACTTTTCACTATTACTATTTGAATAATATTTTTATTTACATGTTTTTTCCTGGATCTAAAGTGTTTAAGATAAATTCCCAGAAATGGAATTTATGTGGTTTGTTTATTTAGTTTGTTTATTTTGAGAGAGAATGTGTGAGTAGGGGGAAGGGAGGGAGAGAGAGAGAGTGAGTGTGTGAGTGGGGGAAGAGAGAGAGAGAGAGAGAGAGAGAGAGAGAATCCCAAGCAGGCTCTGCACCGTCAGCACACAGCCTGATGCGGGCTTCCAGCGCATGAACCATGGATGAGATCATAATCTGAGCCGAAGTCAAGAGTCAGATGTTTAACCGCTTAACTGACTGAGTCACCCAGGTGCCCCACAGAAATGAATTTTTGATCAAAGACTTAAAGGTAAAAATGTTTATTATGGAAACCCTCAAATTTACATAAAAATTGTGAGTTATGAACTCCCAGATCAACAATTCTCAATATTTCACGGGTCTTGTGTCATTTGCTCTTCCACCCCACGTCCATGTGCTGGAGTCTTTCAAAGAAAATGATTATGTTTTGAAGGGAGGGCCAGTAGAATTTGCTGGGGCACTGAATGGGGGGTAGGAGGGAACCAGAGATCTAGGATACGCTAAGGTTTAGGGCTCAGGCAATGGGAAGGAGTCGTCCCTAATTTATGGACTGGCCTTGAAGGTGGGCTACCTTATTTCCAAGTTTCAGGTGCTGATGGTGATCCCGGCAGTTTCTTAGAGGTGGTCTCCAGAGGTTCCTTAACTGGTTGACAAGGCAGATTCTGGGGACCCTCCCACCTGAGGAATCAATGTTTTGTAGGTAGTGCCCAGGTATCTGCATCTTTTTTAAAATGCCTATTTTTGAGAGAGAGCAAGGGGGACAGAGGATCCAAAGCAGGCTCTTTACTGACAGCAGAGTGCCTGATGCAGGGCTTGAACCCATAAACCACGAGATCATGACCTGAACGGAAGTTGTACACTGACAGCCACCCAGGTGTCCCCAGATATCTGCATGTTAAGTGCCTACAAATGATTTTGATGCCCAGTGGCCCAAGATCTAATTGGTTAGACCAGCAGTATCGACATCACCTAGGGTGGCTTATTAGCAGTGCAGACTCCCAGGGGCGCCTGGGTAGCTTGGTTGGGTGTTAGACTCTTGATTTTGGCTCAGGTCATGATCTCACTGTTTGTGAGTTTGAGCTCCATGTTGGGCTCCAAGCTGACAGCACAGAGCCTGCTTGGGATTCTCTCTGTCCCTCTCTCTGCCACTCCCCCTCTTGCTCTCTGTCTCTCTCACTATAAATAAATAAACTAAAAAAAAAAAAAAAGAAATATAGACTCCAAGGCCCCGTCCCAGACCAGCTGAGTCAGAGAATCTCAGGGAATGTGGCCCAGGAATTTTTTAAGATTTTATTTTTAAATGTTTATTTTGAGAGAGAGCATGCATGAGCAGGGGGAGGGCAGAGAGAGAATCCCAAGCAGGCTCTGAATTAGCACCGAGCCCCACACAGGGCTCCATCTCATAAACCATGAGATCATGACTTGAGCCAAAATCAAGAATAGGATGCTTAACCGATTAAGCCACCTAGGCACCCTTAGATTTTATTCTTAATCTCTCCATCCAACCTGGGGCTTGAACTCACAATCCTGAAATCAAGAGTCACATGCTCTACCGACTGAGCCAGCCAGGCACGCTTAACTGAGGAATATTTTAACAATCTCTCCAGGAGCTAAAGTCTGAGCGACACTGCGGAAGGCTGTGGGGATCATGGACTGTAATCAGCCAGCAAGTGTTAGTGGAGGGCCTTCTCTGCAGGCCTCTCCCTGGCAAGCCTTGAAGTTCCCACCAAGTGTGGTCAATGACATAGCTTTAGGTGCCTGGTAGTTCTCAGTTTGGGTTGTAACTAGACGGAATTTGATTTAACGAATTTCATTGTTTTAGGATGGGGCCAATTTTATAGAAGTAAAACAATGGGAATTACATTTTTTTAAT